TTTCATTGCACTATGGTCTGATAATATACAGGGGATAACTTCAATTCCTTTGCACTTACCTCAATATGTTCTATGTGTGAGTATGTAGTCTATTTTGGAGAACAACCCTTGTGCACCTGATAAGAATGTGTATTCTTAGTTTGTGGGGTGAAACACTCTGTAAACATCTGTTAAGTTCATATGTTCAAGAGTTTGATTGAGTTCTAGTATTTTGTTGCTCGCTTTTTGTCTAGTTGATCTATCTATGTGAGACAATGGGGTATTCAGGTCCCCCACTACTATTATATTAGTGTGCATATGGTTTTTCATGTCTGTTAGTATTTGTTTTATGTAGTTGGGTGCACTAGTGTTTGGTGCATAGATATTTATGATTGTCATCTCTTCCTCTTGGATTGTTCCCTTTACAAGGATGTAGTGTCCTTCTTTGTCTCTCTTAATCAGTGTGGGTTTGAAGTCCACTTGGTCTGCAAAGAGGGTAACTACTCCTGCTTTTTTTTCAAGTTCCCATTGCATTGATTATTTTTTCCACCCTTTAACTTTCAGTCTATGAGTTTCTTTTTGAATTAAGTGTGTTTCTTGTATGGAGCATATTGTTGGATCTTGCTTATTCTTCCATTCTGCCAGTCTATTTTTTTTGATTGGTGAATTAAGATCATTAACATTGATGATTATAACTGATACGTATTGAGTTATCATTGTCATGACTTTTTCTTTTTGTTTGATCCTCCCCCTTTGCTTTTTTTTGTTACCTGGGATTAAACTCAGGTCCTTGCGCTTGCACAGCAGGGAGCAAAACCACTGAGCTAAATCCCCAGTCCCCTTCCCCTTTGCTTTTAATTTCTTGTCATGCCCAGTGGATACATTCTGCTGGGCTTCCTGGGGTTCTGATCCTCATTGTCTTTGCCTAGGATTTTGCCTAAAAGTTTTTGGAGTTCTGGTTTGGTATTCTTGAAGTTCCTAAGATGCTCTTTGTCATGAAAGTATCTTATTTCTCCCTCAATTTTGAAAGATAGTTTTGCAAGGTACATCAATCTGGGTTGGAGGTTGTTTTCTTTTAGGGCTTGAAACACATCACTCCAAACCCTTCTTTCCTTGAGGGTTTTCATTGAGAAGTCTGCTGTGATTCTGATGGGCTTTTCTTTGTATGTGATTTGTTTCTTTTGTCTAACTGCTTGTATGTGTTCTTCTGTTTGGTTCCTGAAATCTGAACAATTATATGCCTATGTGTAGATTTTTTTTGATCAACGCTAGTTGGAGTTTTATATGCTTTGCTGATCTTTATGTCAAGTTCTTTTCTCCTGCTCGGGAAGTTTTCTGCCTTCACTTCTGTGAACAGTTTTTTTAATGTCATCTGCACTCTATCCTGTTTCTTCATTGACTCCAATCAGTCTTATGTTATTTTTCTTTACATCATGTAGCAGCTACTGGATTGATTTCTCATGGTTCTTTGCAATTTTAAAGAATTTTTTCTTTTCCTTGTCAGTAATTGCCATCCTATCTTCTATATCTGAAATTCTGTCTTCACATTTGCTCATTCTCCTGTGTAGATTTTCAATGGAGTTTTTAATCTCCTGGAAATCTGTTTGCATCTGTTTCATGGATTCAATTTGTTTCCTATGTTGGCATTCCATCATGTTCCTCAGATCCTCTATTTTTTAAATCTGTATCTTCTCTAGATTTATTAATCACGTCTTGCACTCTGGGCACAATCTTTGCTGTTATGTGAGAAATTATTTCTCATCTCATTTTTTCCAGATCCTCTTGCTTTGCTATTTTAGGGAGTCCAGGTATTTGAGTATCGAACTGTTCCATCTCTTTTCTTTTTGTGGTTGCTGTAGGTGATCTAGAAGTCTGGTTCTGAGGCTTGTTTACCTGTCTTTTCATTTCAATGGGTGGGCGGGTGCTTGGGTCACTTCCTCTGTGCTGGGAGCTCTGGCACACCTACCCAGAAGCCTCCTCCTGGCTGGGAGCTGTGGCACACTGACCTGGAAGTCTCCTTTGTGCTGGAAGCAGTAGCATGCTGACCTGGAGTCCTCCTCTGTGCTGGGAGCTGTGGCATGCCAATCTGGAAGCCTTCTCCCAGCTGGGAGCCACAGCACGCCTACCTGGAAGTCTCTTCCATGCTGGGAGCTGTGGCACACTTACGCAGAAGCCTCCTCCTGGCTGGGGGCTGTGGCAGCTGACCTGGAAGTCTCCTTTCAGCTGGAAGCAGTGGCATGCTGATCTGGAGGCCACCTCTGTGCTGGGAGCTGTGGCACACTAATCTGGAAGCCTCCTCCAGTCTGGGAGCCATGGCATGCCTACCCAGGTGCCTCCTCCTGGCTGGGAGCTGTGGCATGCTGACCTGGAAGTCTCCTCTGTGCTGGGAGCCATGGCATGGTGACCCAGAGGCCTTCTCTGTGCTGGGAGCCATGGCACACCTACCCAGAAGCCTCTTCCATGCTGGGAGCTGTGGGATATCTACCTAGAAGCTGCCTCCTGGCTGGGAGCTGTGGCACACTAACCTGGAAGTCTCCTCTGTGCTGGGAGCCATGGCACACCTACCCGGAAGCCTCCTCCTGGCTGGGAGCCATGGCACATTGACCTGGAAGTCTCCT